CCTAGTGCAATATGGTTCATGGGGTCACGAAGAGTCGGACACGACTTAACGACTAAACAACAAAAAAATGGAAATTTTATCCAGATGACACAACTAAGTTATAACAAGTAACTGATTGTACTGTGCTTGTGAAGACAATCATCCCAGTTAACTGCAGTATTCTAGCCCAAGCATGATGGTGTAATACCAATTTCCTTTAAGGATATCCTATTGTTTCATATTTTAAATAAAGATGTGTTCAAGGAAACTCAAGATTAAATTTTAATAGCATTTACTTTCTCTGAAGCACAACATATCAATCTTTCTTTCTTATGCCGTTGTCATGACAGCTAATACTAGAGAGGACAGAGTAATTATTCACACCATTGGGATTTATTTCTCTACCACAATGGTTATCTATGTTCTTTCTTAAACATTTATTATACTATAGTCTCCTTACATCTGACTTGCAACAGAAGCCAGTAACCTCATTACAATTTTAGTATTTTAGAGGACAAACAGCATTGCAAAAGCAAACTATGGGTGAAAAGCTTCATGAACTCAGCAATTCCATATGAAACATAAAACATTAACCACATTAGGATGCTATGGCAACATTTATGTTAAATATAATTACTGGCATCCAATCAAGAGTAATGTTAAATAAATCTTTGAAATTAATGGCTCATTTCTCATTTAATTCTGGGTTTCCCTGGACATTAAGTCTATCCTTGATAGTCCCCAAACACTCCACCAATGCTTGGGGAGGTTCCCAAAAATCTTACGAGCAGTTTTGTTGAGCGCCTGGTTGCCTGCTGATACAAAGAGGTGACCTGGCCACTTGATGAAATTACACCCAAGTGGCCTCTCTCTATACATCAACTTGGTTTACTGAGGAGCTCCAGGAGATGAAGCAACATAATCATGCCTGGAGCACTGGTGGAGAAAGGCAAGAAGCTAACTTGACCAAGCATGGACACAAGCTCAAGTTCAAACCTCCACTGTGGCAATACAGTAGGAGAAGCACATTTACTTCTCTCTTATTGCATTGGCAGGCAGTAGCCTTGTTTAGAGCAGTCAACTCTCTTTGGGAAGGGGGTCTCGCATACCTCCTACCTGGCTGCTGCAATGAGCGTGCAGCTTTGTGTGGATAAAGTCACCCAGATTCACTCATCTCTTGACTCTTCATAGGCAGAATGGAATGTGATGACTGAGGCAGTATTTTGCCATTTTATCTGGGATTCATTTTGGCTTTTGGACTGCAAAGAAGTGAATAGGGTGCTCTCCAGTATGTCCTCAGCCACCTATGGATCCATGCCCTTCCTGGCTTTTTCAGAGAGCAGGAGAGAATGCAACAGTCAGCTCCAGAAGATGATCAGTTGATATTTGCAACCCTGAAAGAGGATGCAGTTTGCCCCTTCAGCCCTTTGAAGTAGGCCATGTCAGGAAACACACTCCACAAGAAATACTAGAACTCTTTACTGATACGGGCTATAGTAACAGAAAGTCTGATAGCATTTTTCCTTCACTCCCTCTTATACCAAAGAAAGTTAAGGCAGAATCAGCTTAAGCTTCTAACATTTTCTTCCTTTCCTGGACTTAATTAATATTTTGCTAATTGCTACATTCCTCCTCCAAGGACATCTCTGCGGTTCTCTATAGCCTACTTCTTAAGACTCTCTTCTTGAACCTAGCCACTCTTAATAACTATTGTCTTGTCTTTAACCTTCCTTTTCTTGAAAAGGTTACTGAGACTGCAGTCACTGAGCAGCTATGGAGCACTCTAGAGGAGGCAGATTATTTGGACTTGTTTCAGTGAGAGTTCAAGCCTGAGCATCGGGTGGGACAGCACTAGTCACTCTTGTGACTGGCCTTTGACTCTTGTGAGGAACCTGGATGGAGGCAGCGTGCCCCCTGGTCCTTTCAGAGCTCTCACCAGCCTTTGATACCATTGACCATCGTATCCTTCTAGATTGCCTATGAGGTCTGGCAAATGGGGGCACTGTTTTAGCCCTCCTACCTTAGTGGACAATTGGTGCAGGTGGAGAAGTCAGCCAAGCACTCACTCCCTTTAAACTACTGTGATGTACTATATTGGTGCCTGCCTCTGAAGACCACTTGGAAGCTTCAATTAATCCAGAACACAATGGCCCTGTTATTAGCTAGAATCTTTCACCAAGAGCATATTCACCTTTACTGGCTTCCTATCAGCTTCTGAGTGCAATTTAAAGTGCTTGTCATTACCTATAAACTCCTATGTGAATTGGCAATGAGGTATCTGCAGGACTTCTCAAACCAGAATTGACTTGCCCGACATGTGCATCTTGGGAGAAACTGCTTGTGATTCCCCAGTTCCATGAAGTATGGCAGGAGAAGGCTTGTATGAGCTGCTTTTCAAAACTCCACTTAGAAATTAAACTGGCCCCCACTGTTTTGGCACCCTGGAAATTTTGGAAACTGAAGTATTTTGGAGGGCCTATGGTAAATGATAGGATGCTTAATTTGATTTTTGGTTTGGTATATACTAAATTATATATAAAAAGTTATTTTTATAATTGTTTTAGGCTTTCCAAGAACATTGTATTTTAAATGCCCATTTTCCTCTTAAGTACTGTAAACAGCTGAGAGTCTAATAATTGTGACAGTCACAAACTTGATAAAAGTTGTTAAACACGAAATAGAAAATACAGATATGGTCAAAGGTATTGGTACCCCTCCACTTTCTTTTCCGAAGAAATAAGTGACACAAATAAATGGCATCCACCATTCTTTATTCCACAGTCCATAGAGTAGACACTTTGCCTTTGATGTATGACTTAATATATTCTTGCAAATAATAAAACAAATGATTTTCTATCTGCAAGATCATAGTTTCTTTAGTGACAGCACTAGGGAAGTACTGCTTTAAAAAAAAAAAAAATAAATAAACCAACCTTTCAAAGCAAGTGAGTACTTCCTTTCTCCATTGCTTACAAATAAAATGATGAATTATAGGAAGATTATTCCCCAAACATGTATAACACAGACTTTCTTGAACAGCATAGTTAGAATTTCATCCAACAGAAAATAAAACAAGTGTGACATGGGCTATTTACAGCCCACTGGTCTTTATTAAGAACCAAAGAATCCCCAGCTTCCATTTAGTTTCTAGTCATGGAACAAAAATAGGTCTACTTGAAGTCTATTGACTTCCAGAATCAACAAATTCCCTTCATTTTTTCTTTAAGCATTATCATTAATTCTGTGATGTATTTGACTTTAATGAACAATTCCCACAAAGCCACCATGATTAGAGGACCAATATTGCACTCAGGGAAGAGTAAGTGCTTACACTATTCTATTCTCTGCCCACAATCTAGTAGTTAAGATGCAGAAGATGAAGTAAAATGCACAATTGATAAGTAACTTTACATAAAGGTTAATAGCATGGTTTTTAGGCTGCTATTACAAAGGATTCTGTTGTCAATGGGAGCCAGATTGTTTAGGCACATTAATGGCCGCTGGAGACAGACAAATCATCCAGAACTGAAAGATTATGGAAAGGTGCATATAAATATTTCCTGTCCCCAACTATTCATGTTTTCTGCTATATAT